ATGATTGAAAGAATACAAAACATAGACTAAAAGCCTTGCTGTAAGGGAACAGAAAGAAGGGAGCTGGTTACTTCTGACCCAGAGGGTTGTGGGAAAGAAGTGAGAGATGGCAGTAGTGGAGTAGTCAGAAGCTAGTTAACCTGACTTTTCATTCCAACCTCTGGCCTGTTGTTGCTGTTTATCCAGTTCTAACTTTAGAGTATCTACCTCTCTATGTTGTGAGGAATAAAGTTTGGTGGAGGTTTAATGGCTTTTCATTGCACTTGGGATAAACTCCCAATTCCTTGCCATGGCCTTGAAGACCTTAAATGATTTGGCTCTTGTGTCAAAATTTTTACATAAAATAAACCCAACCATAGTAGTGTAGCCAAATAGGGGCTCTCTTCCCCACCCCTCATTAGCCCAGAAGCCATAAAAGATTCCAGGCTCCTTCTTGCACTCTATTCTGCCATCCATGTGTGTGGCTGGTCTTCATGGTCTCAATATGGCTGCTCCTTCTCTAGGAATTGTGCCCTCATTTCCAGCAGGAATAAAGGAGGGAGAGCAAATGAGCCAGTCTCTTTTCACCGGGAAAATAATAGCCTTTCTAGAGACCCACACAGTAGGCTTCACCTTCCATTCAGGATGGTCAGGGAGGGTCATACGGCCCCTTTAGCTGCAGGGAGCACAGGGAGATGATTTTTTCACTGGACACATTCTACACAGGACAGAGAAGAAGGGAGAATGGGTAAATGGGATGGGGAAGCAGTGAATTGTGTCTGCCATGCTTCATCACAGATCGTGCCCCCCAGCTTTCTACTGTGCTTTAGCACATTGTCTTTCCCATTCCTTGATTATGGCCAAGTCCTTCCAACCACAGAGATGTTGCAAGTAGAGTCCCTTCTGCCTGGAATGCTCTTTCCACAGCTTTTCCAATGGCTGGCAACATCATGTCTTTAGGTATCTCTCAAATGTGATCTCCTCAGAAAAGCCTTCTCTGACACCCCTCCCCTATAATCCCAAGTAGTCACTGCTGCTTGTCATTTTTTTCCACAGAAAGTTGTCTGTCTCTTTCATAGCACTTCTCCTAATCTACAATTCCTAGAATATTTATAGTTGATGCCCCTCCCCTAGAAAGCTTCAAGAGAGCAGGACCTTATCCATCTTGTTCACAACTGCATTCCTGGCACGCAGGACAGTGCTTGGTAAATAGTAAGTAATCAGTAAATACTAATAGTTGTTGTATCCTATATAATAAAAGGCTAATATGCAAATTGTCCCCTCAACCGGGAGTTTGACCAGGGGGTGGGACTGGCTGGCCAACAGCCCACAGCTCCCCCCACCCGCGCCAGCCCCGCCCCTGGCCCCCCCACCCCCGATCTGGGGCAAGGCTGGCTGGACCCCACTCATGCACGAATTCATGCACCGGGCCTCTAGTAATGAAATAAATGGAAAAAGGGGGGGGGGACAGTTGGAATTCTTACTCTTATTTTTAGCATACCTATCAATTCCAGTAATCACATACACTGCTTTCCTATTTAAAAATATGTATTTCTCAGCAGTTTTTGCTTGTCTCACCAACTATTATGATACCCTTTTTAAAGTTGGTATGTGGCTTCTAAATAAAAAATAAATTAAAAACAAATAAAAAACAAAAGCCATCACTTAAGTTCTGATGACACCCATTTAATTTGGGATGTGAGTAAATGGACAGCTTATATAAAACAGTAAATATTTTGAGATGGCATTTTGGTTCTGCCCAAGAGTGGACTGCAGCACATACTCACTGGGTAAGTTCTAGCAGACCTGGGAGTACAGTCTGTGAGGGGGGGAATGCAGGAGACCCAGCTGTCTGAACTAATAGTGTTGCAGGCCTGTGCCATGGACTTGGTTTTGTTTGCATAGTTGTGTGGGTCTTTAAACTAACTCCACTCCAACCTCCCTTAAGGAATGTCGAGTTAGAAGACTAGGGTTCAGAGAAGTTCCCATAACTCCTTTCTGTTTTTCCCATTCTTTGAACAGATGTTTTGTAACTCACTGCCTTACCTCTCTCCTCCCTAATGTCAGCAGACTTTAAAATGAGCTGAACCTTTTATTTTTTTTAAATATGTTTTTATTGATTTTAGAGAGATATAGGGAGGGAAAGACACCCCCTATACTGACTGGGAATTGAACAGGTGACCTTTTGGTGCATGGGAGGACATTCAACCAACTGAGCCATAATGGCCAGGGTGAAATGAGCTGAACCTTTTAAACAGAACCCTACCTAATACCTTTCCATCTTAAGCAGAGGTTGATGGTTGTTGACAACATTGACATCAACCCTATCTGACCAGAGAAAGCTAAATCCAGCTTTTTTTTAAAAAGCAAGTCCAACACACACACACACACACACACACACACACACACACACACACACACGTACACTAGAGGCCCGGTGCATGAAATTCGTGCAGGGGGGGGGGGGGGTGTGTGTCCCTCACCCAGCCTGCACCCTCTCAATCTGGGACCCCGCAGGACCAACTGCTGGCAGTCGGACATCCCTCTCACAATCTAGGACTGCTGGCTCCTAACTGCTTGCCTGCCTGCCTGCCTGATTGCCCCTACTGCTTCTGCCTGCCAGCCTGATCCCCCCTTAACCGCTCCCCTACTGGCGTGATTAACACCTAACTGCTCTCCTGCCAGCCTAATCACCCCCAACTGCCCTCCCCTGCCAGCCTGGTCACCCCCAACTGCCCTCCCCTGCTGGCCTGATCTCACCCCCAATTGCCCTCCCCTGCCAGCCTGATCTTGCCCCCCCAACTGCTCACCCCTCTGCTGGCCAATTTGGTTCTGATTGGTCGGTTTCTATGCCAGTCAGCATCAAAAGTTCCGCCTCCTAGGCAGCCATTGGCTCCTCACAGTTGACCCAGATTTGGTTCTGATTGGTTGGTTTCTATGCCAGTCAGCATCTCTGGGCCTATCAACGGGGCCTGATCAGAAAGGCGGGGCTGATCAGCAGCCTGGGTGGAAGCCTGGAGAGAAATGGAGGCAAGTGCTGATCAACAGCTGCCACAGAGGCTACTGATCAGACCCTGCTTCTCTCTTCGGGCCTCTCTCCAGGCCTGATTTGCAGTCCCCTCAGCAGTGGGTGCTCGGTCACCGCCTGCAGCCCCAGCAGTCAGTGCTGGGGCCCCATGGCAACCCAGCACTGACTGCAGGACTTACTTCCAGTTGGTCAAGCCAAAAGCAAGTACATTTTAATAATAATACTTCACTATCCAAAAGAACTATCAAAGGTAAAACTGTAGCCCTAACTGGTTTGGCTCAGTGGATAGAGCATCGGCCTGCGGACTGAAAGGTCCCAGGTTCGATTCTGGCCAAGGGCATGTACCTTGGTTGCAGGCCCATCCCTGGTGGGGGATGTGCAGGAGGCAGCTGATCGATGTTTCTCTCTCATCGATATTTCTAACTCTCTGTCCCTCTCCTTTCCTCTCTGTGAAAAATCAATAAAATATATTAAAAAAAAACTGTAAAGACACATTTAATTCAGTAATACCACTGCATGAACTGAATTCTACTTCCTTGAAACAGAAGGCTGGAGACATGTTGAAGAGTGGAGTGTGCCAAGGGAAAGGCACTGAGGGGTGTTGAGGGGTGTTATAGGGGTGGGTGGATGACCTATGCAATAAGGCCGTCTGGGTTTGTTAATTGGCGCTTATTGGTGGAGAAACAAATTTTTATTTTTAAAGCAGGAGGCAGTTGTGCAAGTGGAAGAAAGGTGCCCCTTAAGTTGGCCCCTTATCCTTCCACCCGGGGCTGGGAGGTAGTACAGAGCCATATCCCCCTGGATGTTTGCTTTTCAAAGACAGGGGCTCCCAGGTCCTTGAGAAACAGTTCTGGGTGGCCGATTTGCAGCACCAAGGGCAGAGAAAGGACTTATAATAGCAAGCCTTCTACAGAAAGGGGTCCTGGGCCTCCCTGCCAATCGCCAGGTGTGCTGAGATTGTTGAGGCTGGCATTTAAAGCGGGGGTGGGGTGCGGAGGGTGTGGGCGGGTGTTGTTGCTGGGATCCTCCCAGGGACGCCCTTAAGCTGCTGGAAGCCACAGTGGAGCTTGGCCAAGTCCCCAGGCGCAGTGGTTTAGATGGAGTCGTTACACGACAAGAGTTCTG